TCATTTTTCTGTAGTTGATACTGTAAATATTGAGTTTGAATTTTGAAAGGTTGAATTTTTTTATATGCAGATTTTTTTAACACTCAAAAATTAAACTGAAAAATAAGTATTGAAAATGTAATCACTTTGAAATAGTAATGTGAATTTTTAGCTTGAAGAGAAAATGAAATTTCAACTGTGTAGAAATAATGACAATTAATTTCTTTAGGTCAAAAATGTGTTCTGAATATATTTTAACACTGAAACAGTAAGTACAAACATACAACATTTAAATTTCAGTGGCATTTTTAATTGAAATCGCATCGACACAGATTTACTTCCACACAGTCGGTCGTTTCTCTGCTTTAATAGGTTCTAAAAAACCCTTCAGAGATCAACTAGGCCAAAATTCTCCTATATTGGATCAGAAGCTGCTTCTTAACTGTTTCTCTGTGGTTTAATGGAAAAGTCAGAACTTCTGGTTCTGGTAAAGGTTTGGTTACAGAGATACAAATAGAGTTGAACATCAATTCATGATGGAAAGATGAAGATTAAAGGTTAGACCACCTTGATGGGATGGTTGAAGCTTTTGTATCTGTTTGTTCTGGATCTGTTTTTAGTATCTTCACTAATACTGATGAACATCTGGAAGCAATAAAGGTTCATTACCTTCTTCTACTGGGTGGAGCAGACTGATGGTTTAGCTGCGGGGTTGTCAACGTTTTTTAGACTCCAGAATGATGGAGAGACAAATAGAGGAGCCATGTTTCTCCTGCTTAGTGGACTGTGTGCTCCATCCTCTTCTTCAGCTCCTTCATAAATGAAAGCAAAGCATCCTCAGAGTCTTAACCTATCTGCATGTGATGTTTCTCTAGTCAAACCAACATACCTCCAAACATGTGTGGATGGATTCTGTTCCAATGTGATCCGACTGCTAGAACACTGCTAGCTGTTCAACCTGCTTTCCCTGTAAAAAATAAGACAAATTAATCTACAGAATTTCCTCGACACCAAGTTGAAATCTGGGGCAGGGTGTTGTTTTCATCATAATCTTAGTCTTTCTGTGTTTCAATGACTGTTGTCGTGTTAATAAAGTCTTACTCCGTGTGTTTTCTGTTCCAGTCTTCCTCTGTGCCGTCCTCAGGTGGGGACTGGGAAGCTCCTCACCATCCTGGATGTCCCGGTTCCTCACAGGAGTTTTGCTTTTGGACGTCCACAGTGTCTGAACATACATGAAAAACTAAGTGAGGCCACCTGAAATGTTAACTATATATTT